GCACTCTTTTTATTCTCCGTTTCTTTCTGTCTCTTTTTTAAAAGAGGAGCCACTTTACCGCACCTACCATTTACTCAATTCCTGCTTCACCAAGTCACTTCAAATTATATATATAAAACGTAGAAGAAAGAGTAACAGAGAAGAAATTGAATTAGAGAGCACCAGAGATGGCAGGAAAGAAAGATGGTGGGTCGGTAGGTAAGTAGCTTTTGTTTTTAGCTTAGTAGTTGGCGAAGTGATAATGGAGTAAATTATAAATTAGTTCCTCTAGTTTTTAAAAAAAGAATTAATTATTTAAAAAAAATTAATTATTTAGTTTTTTAACTAGTGTAGGATATATTCGATTTAATATCGTTTTGTTCTAAAATGCGTCTTCTTTTCTCATTAATATTTTCATATTATTTATTTATTTTATATTTATTAAAATCAAAATTAAAATAAAATAATTAAATTAATAAATAGGGATTAAATAATTATTTTTTTATACATAAAGAATTAATTAATTCATTCATTTTTTAAAACTAAAAGAATTAATTTATAATTTACTCAGTGAGAGTGGGAGCAAATTTTTTTGAAACAGTTAGATTCAGACGGTAAAGTAGCAAAAGTTTTCAAAATTACTTTTGGTAATAATTTTAAAAAGGGTAAACTACAATAAGCTCATAAAATTACAATAACTATCTAAAAGTATGAAAATATTACAAAAAAAAAAAAAAACAAAAATCTTTTCTATTATTCAAAACATCTTTGATCTTAAGGGGAATGATTTAAAAATATTAAGAATATTTTGGATATAAAAAAAATTGTAATATCCAGTTAAACTTGAAGGAATTTTTTGTAATATTTTCAAACTTTTGATGATCATTGTAATTTTACGATATCTCAAATTTATTATTATTATTTTTGTAATTTATCTTTAAAAAAAATATTTGGTACAAATTAAATTGGTTTTTCTACCAGGAAATGATAATTAACTCATTACCATTAATTTTTCTTTTTTTAAAAAAAATTGTGAGTTAGTGTGTTTTTATTTGCCAAGTCAATCTCGTTTTATAGTTATATGGGCATTACTGAAACTTTCTAATTTTTCAAGGACTAAACTATTAGTCCACCCCAAGTAGTTTGGTGTCAAATTGACAGAATGGTCATATAATATTTTTAATTGGTCCATTATTGGTTTCTTGAAAAAGTCCACTATTTAATAATTAAGGTTCTAAACTTTGACATTCTAGAAAATGGAGCAATGGTAAATTAGTTTTTCAAGGTCAGTGCAATTAATCTTTGTTGGTTTTTTTATGAATATTTATTTCAGTAAAAAAATAATTAAAAAAAAGCTCCTTTTTTGCTTCTTGAAAGTGCAGAAAATACATTTTAGTTAGTCACTAGCTCAATACCCGCGTGTTGCCGAGGGGTAAATTTATCATATCCATATTTTAATATTTTAAATAATTTAAAAATATAAATATAAAATAAAAATTAATTAATACCCATTGTAAAAAAAGTATTTAATTTAATATATATATATATATATATATATATATATATATATATAATTGAATTGAAATATTTATTAGGAATATTTTTTATTTTGATAGATAAAAAATATATGCAATTAATTAATCATTTAAAAAAATCCAATTAGAAGGAGGTGTTTAATCAATTTATATTAGAAGAATATTTAATTTTAGTTCATGAATATTTATAAAAATTGAAAAAGTAACCATTGATGATGGAAAAAAAAATATTTTGATTAAATAATAATTAATGAAAAAAACCCAGTCCAAAAAAAAAATGATAGGGACCTTTTGGTAATATTCATAAAAATTAGAGATTGTTTTATATAAAGTAATAACTTAGAGGACCAACGTCTAAACTATTGACAAATTGATAAAAAAATAACTTTTTTTTAGGAAAACGATGCCGTTTTGATTTCACCGTAGCAGGGGCTTAGCTACAATGAAACCATATTCCCTTTTAGTATATGTATAATGTGAATTAATTGACAAATTGTGCGGAGTCTGTCTTGATAATTTTAGATATTATGAATTGGACCCTTTGTATCGTATTTAACTTCTTAACGTTTAACGCAAGGGTAAATTTGAAAAAGGCTTCCAACTATATAGGTAGTTTCAATTTTATTCTCAAACTAATTTTCATATCAATTTTGTTTTTTAAGTTTCAAAAATTCTCTGTGAAGTCTTTTCAACCATATTTAATCTAAAATTTTTTTGGTTTAATGGAAAAATTTTGCCTCCAAACTACTACAATTTGACCATTTCATGTCATTACTATCAATTTGGGTTAATTAAATCCTAAACTATTATGTTTTTGGTAAATATAATTTTTACTTGTTATCTTTAACAATCAATCCTTTGATCTATAATATTTTAGGCTTTTTTAAAAAAAATTAGTTAACTTAATTAGTCAAAATATGGTTTACATAAAATTGTATAGTAACTATTTATTAGATTTTAAAATTAATAACATCCATAAAAAAAATTAAAATTGTAGGTAATCAAATACAAAAAATAAAAGTACATATATTTAAATAAAAAATATTTAAATTTAGTATTAATTATATTGTCGTTAATATAAATTTTTAATTTTTTTCTAATCAAGTATTTACGCTAAATTCTTGATGACATAAGTATTAAATTGACTAGATTAAAAATAAAATAAAATATTTAAATCTAGTATTAACTAGATTGTCGTTATTGTAATTTTTTTATTTTTTCTAATTAATTGTTTTTGTTAAATTTATATCGACATCACCATTAAAATAACATATCGGCATGCTAACATGTCCATCACATGAGTATGAATATTTTATTTTATTTTTAATCAAGGATATGTGCTTTTATTTTTTAATTTAAATATATGTATTTGTATTTTTTTTTAATTTGATTATCCGTAATTTCAAAAAAAAAATTATGAGTGTTATTAATTTTAAAATCTAACGAATAGTCACTATGCAATCTTATGTAGATCATATTTTGACTAAGTTTGTTAATTTTTTTATAAAAAAATATTAACGAGTTAAAGAGTTGATTGTTGACGAGTTAACAATTTGACTCGTTAAAAATAAGAGGTAAGGATTACATTTGTTAAAAAATAATATTTTAGGGTCTAATTAATCTAAATTAATAATAAAAAAGTTAAAATTATCAAATTGTAGTAGTTTGAGGGCAATTTTTGGTGTTAAACAAAATTTCATCCAAATTATACCTTTTTTGTTGTAAGATATTGTTCTATAATGCTCAAATTAGGAAATCAAGACTGTTTGAAGATAAAATTGATACAAAAATTTGTTAGTTAGCAAAATTATTACTGACTCAATTTTGAGATTTGCCCTTGACATGATTCAAATGACCTAATTTATGTAAATTAATAAAATGTCTTCAAGGGTTGATAATTGCATAAATAACCATTTGTTAGATTTTTCACCAACAATAATCCCCTTCGAAGTTAATCATGTTACTTTTTTTTTTTTTTTTTTTTTTGAAGAGGAGAGACTCAATCTCGAATTCTCTTGATGGAATGGAGACATTAACATTAGTTAAGTTACAATTTATTGACTTGTGTTTGTTTATATGCTTGCTCTGTATTCGTCCTGACAATTTATTTTAATTAATTTATAAATTTAAGTCAAATATATATAGTTTGTCATACGAAGTAAAATAATTTATTTCTTTTCTCACAATATGTAAATGATGTGATTTTATATTGAATATAAAAACTTTACAGAAGTGATGAGGTGGTAAAACTTCCAAAGATGATGTAGCTATTCATCATAGCCAGTATAGGATTGTGCTTGAAGATAGTGGTGACTGTTGGGGTTTGAATAATTGCAAATTTTTTTTTTTTTATTGGATAGAGGATTTTTATCGCTACAATAATGATTTTTCATAATATCAAGTTATAGGAAGAGAGGGACAAAACTATCAATTCTTTCTTCTAATAACAATTAGAAAACAAGTGTTTTTGATGTTGATAAGTTTTTAAACAAATATGATAACATCACTGTTATGAGTTAAACAAAAAAATAATTTTGGAAGTATGCTATTATTTATTAGATGCACTATATGTCCTTTTAATAGATTGAGAGTAGGTCCGACTCTCCGGATCAAAGTCGGACAAGTCTTTTTACTAAGGAGCATTCCCTATCGAGAATGCGGCTACTTTGTCTGTCTGGATTTTGCCTGTCTAAACTTACATCCGCCTAGGTTTGGCTTGGGTACAATTCAGGAGGACAAGTATTTATTGACCATATATGTATCGACCTTTGCAGAAGTTTTGTGGATCCTAAAACTATACACATGTCATCTAGATATATTAAGAATATTAAGAAGGGCATGGTCAATGGTCATAACCAAATATTATAAGACTAGCAATAAAAATTGGCAGCTGCTTGAAAAATATAATACAAGCATATTCTTTTAACGTAGCCGCATAGGCAGGTAATTGATCGGACAACTTATCATTTTGATGAGTGTATGATTTTGAAATTAATTTGAATGGAAATACGCACCAGCACAGACCTGCACATTCTTTCAAAGAAAATGATAAACAAAGGGAATTAAGGGTTCTATGCATGGTAATGTTAAGTCGGGCATAAAAAAATTCTTACCTCGAATGTTAACATTAACATTTGGTACTATCTGATATATATTAGTATAATTTATTGGAATTAAGGTCTTGTTATACTGGACAATCAATTATACTGTATTGTCACTTAATTATTTTGGTAATCAAGTGTCTCAAAAGAGTTGTTGTTCATAGCCTAAACAAGATAAAGATGAACCAACTCATAATCCTAACCTTGCAGCAGCAATATAATCTCCAAATTCGATTATTATATCAACCCTCTCTCTCTCTCTATATATATATATATATATATATATATAAACAATGATTTTTGGAAAAAAGAAATACAAATTAAATGGAAGAAGCCAAATTAAACCCATGCAATATGCTAATTTACAAATCAATGAATTGGTATTTCACACATCCGGATCATATTCTGTACTAGAAACTTGAATTCGACCTCGCCGCCTTGAGCGGCGTTTGCGGCCTTGATGGCTGCCACCGAATTTCAATCTACCAGTGTCCCTGAACCTGTCCTTCTCTGCTGGAATCACAACACATTCTGGAGGTGGCACAGGATACCTCAATGAATCATAGCAATAAGAATAGTACATGTAACGTTGGCGAAATCTACGCATAGAAGAACGTTGCCTCCGTGTAATGGCGGCATAATCGGCAGTCTCGAGCCTAGCATCACTCTCATGGCAATCAAATGAAGGAAATTCCTCGATGGGGTCAGAAGGGCATCCCTCTAAGACAAAGTCTTTAAATTCGGACACAAATGGTGCATACTTATAATTGACCTTGTATTTGCCACCGGAAGTTGCCCAACTTGACGCATCCCATATTGTAGCATATAAGGACATTGGTTTTGACGGGTACTCGCCGCCCATTTCTTTATTGCGAATCACCTCTCGGATGGGAACATCATCGATGTAGAATCTGAAAAATCACCACCACAAATGTCATTATTGTCAATCAAAAATTGGCAAAAAATGTTCATGCGTGTTAGTTTTGGAGATTGGCAAGGAACCAAGAAAACGGATCAAATTAATAGCAGTAGCTACAAAAGTCAATTAATTAATTTACTTGTTTATGTAAAATGAGGGTAAGTAGTTTGTGATAATAAATATCCATTGGGTAGAATTATTGCAAAAAATAGCGGTCAATCTTGTCCGTAGAAATTTACGAGCCGCGCGACCTAGCTAGTTGGCGGCCTAATAAATATTTCTATCCTTTAAAAAACGGCCATTTAAAGGGCACGACTCATTCCCATGTTACATATTTTTCATGCATGATGCTGCTTTCTTCATTAATTACAAAAATTGCAAAATCAATCCGGGTACCTAAAACTTTTTAGGCCAAATTAGCACTTGTCTCTCCAAAACCAAATCTGGCCTCACAAGCAACCTGAAAATGTTGTCTCGTTAAGTTCACGTTTGTCCACTAGTTAATACTAACATCCGAATTCCCACACGCAATTGCCAACTTTTCTCTCTTCCTTACTCTCTATCTCTTAAGGGGTCAAACAACCAAAAAAATAATAGCTTTACATGACATGAGATACAAGACAACATGTATGTGCAAAAAAATACCTGAAGTCCAAAAAATTGCGTAACTAATCCATATATATTTATGTATGTGTGTGTGAAGTAGCTAGCAAAGAACAAAGAGGTGGATATAAAGTTGGCGGGAGAAGACAACTCACATGATTTTCTTTGCCGTCCATAGAATGCTATACCTATGGAACTCTTTCGAGGGGTCAAACCATAATCGATATCTTTCTTCTCTACCACGATGCGTGCTTCCATTACCATACAAGTTTGTTTGGAACCTCCATGGCTTCCCTTCAGTGTTTCCTAGGAATTCAAAGTCCAATTCATCATGGTTCTTCTCGAACACGTCCCCGTTTGATGTCTGCGACCGCGTTGAAAATAACAACAATATTCATCATGATTGATAATTTTATATATATCATTTAATGTCAAATAAAATACACAATATATATATATATATATATATATATAATTGCAAGAGCCACTCAAATCCGAGTTCTAAGTCTCTCCACCAGTTTTTAGTAGAGACTTTTTTTTTTTTTGGTAATATATAGAAAAAAGATAAACCATGCACAATCTAGTTAAATGTTTGCAGAGAAAATTTTTATTATAAAGAAAAAATTTAAGGATTATTAATCAATCAATATATCTAGTGTAAAACAACTAAATTCTTCATGGAAATTTAAAATAACAAAGAGGGCAATAAATTTCCAAAAAAGCTAATGAGAAAAGTTAAGTAATCATAAATAGAGCCTTAAAAGATGCAATTAATTGCCGAAAAGAAGCGTGATGAACGAATTCAAATTAGAACTGAACTTTTCCTTTATATGAAGCCAGAAGAAATTAACCCAAAAGTTCTTATCAAACAAAAAAAGGTTACAGAAAAAACAATAGATAAAAAAAAAAAAAAACCAGAAAAATTTTCCTATTTGTCGAAAGGAATATTAATTATATGATTACTAGTCACTTACATAGAAGGCAACGCAGAGACCGGCGGTGTAATCGCCTGGTAACTTGACGTTGGCACTAAAGAATCCATATTTATACATCTTGGATGAAATAAAACCCGCACCTGAAATTTCCCAAAATTATATGCAATGAATTAACAAAATTAAGCATATATGCATGCAGATTTTCAAAAATTAATAAAAAAATATGACACGAATGTATACCTGTGAAGCGATCAAGGAGGAGGCGGGCGCTTCTACCATTAGGAGAACGAACAAGATTGCCATCTCCGAAGAGAGGGCTGTAACCTTCATCAAAGGAGATGGTGGAGAGATTGAAAGCGGCGTTTGCAATACAAGAAAAGGAACAAAAGAAGAGGAGGAGATACAAAGGTTTCGAGAGTGACCAACAGAATAAGCAATCCATTTTGTTTTCTGACATAAGGTATATTTTAGTAATTCTTGTTTGTCTCTCTCCTTAATCCTCCTTTGCTTTCTCTGCAAGTTTACATATATATACGAAGAACATGGATTGGAGTGAGAAGGAGAAGAGATAGGCCGGGGAGAAGGAGAGCGAATGGTCTTAATAAAGGTTAAATTAGTCTCCGGTCGTTTTGAATTGTGTTTATGTACAACAATGCCCTTTAAATGTTCCAAATTTACGTTATTGCCACTGTGCAAAGGTTATTCATGCATGGATATGATGAGGTGGTGGTTGCGCTTTGTTGTTATTTTTTAAGCCTGTTGTCTTTGTTGCCTTGTCAATGATTGTGGTTGTGGATTCTAAGCTATCTTTGGGTAGCCAATTTATATAACGAACAAATTAATGGGAAATATACTACTATATTTCTAAGCAGTACATAAAAAACCTAACTAGAAAGTATAGTTTTCTTGTGTTGTAAGTAAGTCAAACAGTAAGGTGACAACTAAGAAGGTGAGGATGTGGGGTTTTATATAATATTGTAACAGATTCCATGCACAGAGGAGGTTTACCATTTAGAAGGGAGCTAGGTAGCATGCAAAATATATAAAATATTGCAACACTTATTTATTCTTAGCATGCAAGACAGAAGCCAGCATTTGTTAAATTTTGAGAGTTAGACCTTATTGTGGTATTTGTTATAAGTAGATTTGATATCATCACATTAGGCTAGCTGTGTAACCACTCTTATTTTATTTTTGTTTTCTGGTTCAACTACTTTTTTTTCTTTTTTCTTTTGGTAATATATATATATATATAGCTGCCCTTTAGTTACGTTCCGTTATGGATATAAGGCCAGGCTATATATATTGACTCAAAAATATTATTATTGATAACCCAAACTTTATCCCTTTTTTTATTTGTTTCTTATTTTATTTTATTTTGGAATTTACTACAAAAAAAAATTGAAGAAAGAATAAAAATACAAATATATATATATATAAACAAAATACAAAAAAGGAAGAAAAAAGATTAAGGAGATGACTCATCATCCAATCCAAAAAATCTCCTATATAAACAGACTATTTTCCTTCATTTTGAGGGGGCCTCCACAATTTTCCACATCCCAAAAAAAAAAAAAAAAAACATAGAGATGTAGTCTCTACACAAAAACCTTGGCCACTCTTCATCTCCAAAAAAAATAAAAATAATGATAATAAAAACTTGGCGACCACCTACACTATAACAAAGATTACCGACATTGCCATGCCTAAAAAAATCGATATCTTGATACCCACCGTCATAGCCATCTCCTCTCCACAAACCCTCTACCAAAAATTCACCTCTTCGTTGTTAGCCACTCGTCAACACAGGTGGCCATCACCCCTAAAACCTCTACAACTCACTATCGTAATAGCCTTTTTTGTTGTCCTTCTTCCTTTGCCAACACCCCCCCCCTCCCAAAAAAAAAAACAAATGTTTCATCCTTCTCCAAAACCTCAAGGCCACCAACAATAAACTTGTACACTCGCCACATTCAAAACCCCATAAACCAGCCACAAACACAACATCATTCCACATGCTAACCTACAACTACTCAACTCCACAAACATAATAGCCTCCTCACACTTCCATCTCCATCCTCACCTTAGTTGCACAAAACCCACACCCGTTTTACCTAGCCGTCATCCGCACATCACCATCACCCTTGCCTTCTCCTTTCCTACACTCACCTAAACACATCACCGTCATGTCCCGGCCATTCTCCCCCTCATTCCACACACACTAACCCGCAATAGCCCATCACCATTTACAAGCCAACTAAACCTCCATGACAACCATCATCAAAACTGGTTGTTTCCATCTCCAAACAATATAATCAATGGCCAATAAGATTCAACTTTTCCCTTACCAATAAACTTGCCAAGCACGTTCCTTTGAATCACCTTTTCATACCAACAAACACTCAATCACCCAAGCCACCATACAAGCTCAAATCCATCCAATTGAACCCGGTTCCGCTACTACCCAAAACATGTGCCAAAAGCCTCCTTCTTTATAAAACCACCACAACTCCCTCCTTTTTTCTCCTTTGTCAACAATAGAATAAAATATAAACAACAAAACATGTTGTCCAAAACCAAGTAAAAAAAAACATGACAAACTCTTCTTCTTTCAACGACCATTACATTAGATTTCTCTCCACCAAAAACCCACTACCATCAATCTCTTTCAAAACAAGCAGCCTATCATAGTCATTGCCACTAATCTCCCTCACCGCAACCACCATCACCCTAGCCTCCCTTGGTCATGAAACACTAGCCTCAAGATTCACCCATACAACTCTCACTACTTTCTTTTTTCTCCTTCATTACTCGAAACCACCACCTCTCACAGTATAAAAAAAAAAAAATGGAGTGCACACTTTCTAAAACCACGATCCACTAACATCACCTATCTTCACATCCCCCCAATACTAAATTCCTAATTAAATCCAAGCTCCTAATCGTCTCTCATATCCTAGCCTCCTCATCTACCCAAACACCTCCTTACAAAACCATTTTCAATTTGTTCCACCTTCTTTCTAAAAATCAACTTTCTCATCAAAACCCTTGGCTTGTCATCAAGAACCTAGTTCAACCATCTTCTTCACCTACAAGCCATAACCTTTTCCTCTCCTTCACGCATCTCAACCATCAACCTAAATCCCTTACTCGATGAAAACCAACACTCTTTGAACCTCCCTAAATAATAGTCATCGACCAAAACCCTTCCTATTCTCTCTCACTCTCTTTACCAACCATTAAACCATCAAAATACTATACCACTATTGAACTCAATGTCACAAAAGAAAAGAAATAAAGGAGATGATGCATTGTTGTTGGTGATGAAAAAGGAGGATAAGAGGGATAATTGAATGTGTAATTCTTAGAGTCAAAGTTTGGTTTTGGAGTGGGTTTGTTTGGCATCGAAGAAGATAAAAAAGGGATGAAGAGGAGATTATGCAATTTGGTGAAGTTTTTGAAGGAAATGGATAAGGTAGAGAAGAAGGAAAAGATGGAAGGTATAAAGTTTAGGTCTTGTCACTATCGGCTCGGTTTAAAAAAAAAAAAAGATGTTACATGAGTATGTAAGTTGGTCTTGGTCTTAAAATAATGAAAAAGGGTTAGGCTTAGGAAAAGATAAGCGGCTCAACTAAGCCTAGCTCGCATGGCCAAAGCTAGGGGTGAGCAAACTTCGATTAAAATAGAAAAATCGAATCGCACCAAACTAAAATACCTAATTTGGTTCGATTTTTCATTTCAATTTATTCAAAAAAAAATCAAACCAAAATTCAATCACTTTTTGATTTTGGTTTCGATTTTTAAAAATTTTAAACCGATGTCCACCAAAAATCGAACACCCCACCTAATTATATTTTATATAAATTAAATTAAGCTTAAAAATATTTGAATTAAAGTTGGGCTCATGGGTTTTCACTTGATTGACTCCCGAAAATTGAAGGAACAACTCATAAAAAGCCATGAACTTCAAAGCACAAGGCCCACACGGATCACAACCCACAAGCAAAAGATGATAAGTCGGGCTTTAATTTATAAGTTGTCCCCTACCCTTCAAAGGCTAAACTAAATAATGTGGGATAGAGAGAAGTTCAAAGGGTGAGTAAGTGAGTTCCCCATCCCACATAAAAAAATATATATACTTTTGAGACATGGAAAGGTCTATAATTAACCCATCTCGAGTAACCAAAACTAGTAGATTTGATATCATCCCACATCGAAAAAGAACTCAAGTATGAGTTCAAAAACTTTTATAAATATTATAAAATGCGGGAGGGTGAGCTCGTGCTCTCGTGTCATTTCCCGACTTTGCTCGTGGTTAAGTGTAGTTGTTTTAATAATTTTGATTAATATGAAAAAACCAAAATAATTTAAAATCAAAATATATCAACTGAATTATAATTTGATTCGGTTCGATTGTATTTTTTTATGTTCGGTTAACCAAAAATCGAATTAAAGTAGTTAAAAATCGAATAAAAAAACCATTTGCTCATCCTTAGCCAAAGCTAGGGCTTGTTTCAGCCAAGCAGGCGACGTAGAGGGTCGAGGGTCCACTAACCAAAAAAAAAAAAAAAGAGCCCAATGCTTTAATTTCATTTTTTCCTAGACAAATTGACCTTGAATATTTTTATTTTTTACTTAATTTAGATTTAATATTTTGGATCCTCTTGAATTTATTTAGTAAAATGATTAATTTTAGATTTTACTTTAATAATTAGATTAGGTAGTTAATTGGTGGATAAATTATTAAGTTTCTTAATTTTTAAGGATCGATGATAGTTTCCCCTCAATAAAAAAAATATATAATAACAAAAATGATAAAAAAAAAGAAAAAATAATAATAAACTTTTTTATCTACAAGGAACTGGTGTTAGCCAAAGATCATTTTAGTTATTAAACTGTTTTCCGATATACTAATTGTGTCGAGACTTAAAAGTGAATCCAATATTTGAACCGACATGTCTCCTAATAAAGAGGTCCGACAATTGGTTTAATATGATACCACAAATAAAAATAAAAAATTATTTTGACATAATAATAATAATAACAACAACAACAACAACAACAATAATAAATGAAAATAAGATTAGAATTTCGACTAGAATTAATTTTGGCAAAAATAGAAATTTGTAGAAGATAAATTTTAAGACTAAGTTAGACGTGGTACATTTTTTAGAAAAGGACATTTTTGAGTAATTAACATTTTTTCAAAAGTATAACCAACTTCTTACCGTAGAATATCTAAACTAATGCCTATTTTAGGTTTTTAGTTCCTTCAATAGTAGGTGGTAACTTACAAAATCAATAATAACTCATATTCTGAAAATAAATCATAAATATTTCAACCAAAACAAATCTTCAAAAATTTTTAGAGTCTCGTCCGATGGCAAGTGGTGACAATTGATCCGACAATTGGTTTAATATGATACCACAAATAAAACTAAAAAACTTAGTTTGACATAATAATAATAATAATAACAACAACAACAACAATAATAATAAATGAAAATAAGATTAGAATTTCGACTAGAATTAATTTTGGCAAAAATAGAAATTTGTAGGAGATAAATTTTAAGACTAAGTTAGACGTGGTACATTTTTTAGAAAAGGACGTTTTTGAGTGATTAACATCTTTCCAAAAGTATAACCAACTTCTTACCGTAGAATATCTAAATTAATGCCTATTTTAAGTTTTTAGTTCCTTCAATAGTAGGTGGCAACTTACAAAATCAATAATAACTCATATTCCGAAAATAAATCATAAATATTTCAACCAAAACAAATCTTAAAAATTTTTTAGAGTCTCGTCCAATGGCGAGTAGTGACAAAATGATGACGACACTAGGGATTCGGAGTTAGGTCATAGGTTTAGTCCTTTGAATTTATCTCCTTTATTTATTTTTGCTATTTATTCAAGTTATTTATTTTTGAAGTCTTTTATCTTTTCATTTAATTAATTCCAAGTTATTTATTTTATGTAATTTATTACTTTGATTTCTTGTATATATTTTAAATCTTTTAATTTTATGTAATTTATTTTTCTTCTATTCATGTATATATTTATTTTGTGAACTAGTTTGATAAGATTGGTTTGATCTTTTGCACACACCACGAAGAAAGCTCGTAAAAACTCTAGACCTAAGTTAAAACCTTATCGGGACTTAGATAGAGAGATTTAAAGGCAAATATGAAGAAAGTCTACCGATATTCTTTCGAACTCTCGTTTGGACTAGAACTTACCCTATGCATAGGAAATGGTAGAATAACCTTCTCCTATCTCCTAGTGTGTAAGGTTAGAGACCGAATTACCCCACCGATAATTTAGATAATTCAAAAACTTAAAAAAACTCCAAGATTAGACAAGTTTTGCCTAAACTCGAAGAAAGCTAGATCCTATTTGCTAGAGTTAACCTATTAAGGCATAAACTATTTTTGTGAGATTGTTGTGTTCTAACCTTTGTTTTTTAAGGTTATCATCAAACAAATCATGAAAAAGAATATTATCAATTTTAAGGTCGGATCATAACGGGCCCAATTTTAAAAGGGAGGTTGTCCACCCGAATCTTGTGCTCGAAGCAAAAAAATAATAATAAAAAAAAAGATGGGACTCCCAAGCAACAAGTACACCACTAAAGACGAGCTCATACTAGATTCAAAAACCGTATAGCCCCTACTATCTCGTGGCTAGGTCTAGAATTATGAAGGATAGAATAAAAATCTGTTTGTAATGTAAATATTAGAAGTGTTATAATCTAAGTGATTTGTAACAAGTAATTACCAAAAATAACTACACTAGTTTTATTCTTCAATGAAAATTTACTCTAAGTCTTATTTAGAATGTGCTAGAAGTCTAAATTTTAAATTCTTTTATGTATGTTGTCCCAAGATATGCTCATCACTCGAGGTCGCAAGAAAACAAACTAACAAAAAAAAAAAAAAAAACAAGATGGGACTCGTAAGCAATAAGCACACCACCATAGAAGAGCTCATTTCATATTCAAAAATTGCAAAGCCCATGTTATCTCATGCTCGAGTTTGGAGTTGTGAAAGGTAGAATAAAAATTTATTTATAATATAAATATTTTAAGTGTTGAAATCTAATTGGTAGCAACAAGTAATTATCGAAACTAGCTACACTATTTTTATTCTTAATGAAAAATAGCTCTAAATCACATTTAGAATGTGTTAAAAGTCTAAATTTTAAATTCTTTTATGTATGTTGTCGTAAGATGCTCTCATCACTTGAGGTCTTAAAAACATAGGACCCACAAGCAATGAGTACATCACTAAAGATGAGGTCATAATAAGATTTAGAAACCGCATAACCCCTACTACCTCGAGTTCAAGTCTAGAATTACGAAGGGTAGGATAGAAATCTATTTGTAATGTAAATATTATAAACATTGTAATCTAAGTGATTGTAATAAGTAATTACTAAAAATAGCTACATTGTTTTTATTCTTGAATAAAAAATAGCTTTAAGTCATATTTAGAATGTGCTAAAAATCTAAATTTCAAATTCTTCTTTGTATGCTATCACAAGATACGGTCATCACTTAGGGTCCCAATCGAAAAAAAATCACGTCAAAGGCAAATCGATCTAGGATAGATATGTTTCTTGAATCGCTTAAAATATTTATGGGATGGTACACTCAACAAGTATTAAAATCTGATATGGGTCGTCCTCGGTAAAAATTCTTTTATAATTTGAAGTCTACGTCACCAAAGT